GCAAACAGTGACATGTTTCACAACAAACAGTTGAAAAGAAATACCAGATTTATCGATGATCGCATCGATCTCCTCCACCACGTCGAAATAAGCTTCATTGTTTGTGTACTTGACCCCAGTGCGCCGCCAGGGGACTACAGACAGCTGGCCTGTAGGGAGCTGTTCACCCACATTGGTGCTGCCTGGAAGCAGAAATTAACAACAGTATAGGATCGTGCACACAGAGTCAAACAGCTGCTGTAATATCCATGGCTCACACTGTCAATTGAATTCATTCAGTGCTATTTAGATGAACTGTAATTGTTACTGAAAGAAGTCTCAGCTGTGTATGAACAAAGCATTAATGTTGCCTGAAATCAGGAAGTAAAAGCAGCACAAATAAAAGACTGAAAGACCTGTGATGGTGTTGACCATGGTGCGGAGGATGGTAGGAGGCTTAATGAGCTCTTTAAGAATGTTGGACTCTGTGGCCAGAGGAAACCCGTTATCCAGCATCTCCTCCAGTAGTTCATAGACCACTACCACATTGTCCTTGATGGCCGCCTCTGTACACACTCCAAAATAGTCCTGAGAACAAAGCAGACAAGCAGGATATGCACTTTTAGTTAACTACAAATAATGATAAAAGTAGACAGAAACATGCATGAGAGGGGAGGAACAACCTGAAAGGTGTCTACGACTCTGTGCAGGAACTCGATGACAAACAGTGGCGGGACCTCACTCTGGATGACCGCCACAAAGTAGATGTGATGCCTGAGCACACTGATAAGGTAGTGATGAGGCGTGGGGATAACTGGTGGGACATTCTCTGGCTCAGTAGCTCGCTCCTGGGCCTCAAAGAAGTAGTCGCACACGGAGCGGCTGACCACACTTTTCCAGTGCTTCTCCAGGAAAATATCCCCTGAAGCGTTAATTAGGAACAAGCTGTGGATCATTGTGGCTAAAGGCTGTTGGGAGGGAAAAACAAGAGACCACCAGAGGTTTTTAAATGAGAAAATGCTAAGACCAAAACACCATGCCTTCTGTTAACATAAACAACAGAATAAGAAGGTTATTTAAGTGTCGCAGTAAACCATCAAGTGTGACAGTGAGGTGGCAGGCGCAATGGAGAATTTTACCCGAAGACAGACCCTATTCTCACATGACCCTGGGAGTACCATGCTCTGCTCTCCGGATAATACTGTCTATACAGTGTGCTTAGTTTATAAAGGAGAACGGCTCAAGTAACAGAGTAGGTCTACTGAGCTGAGACTGAAGTTCAGGGTTTCAGAAATTAAGAAACTAACTTACGATGGCTGAGAAATGTGACTCCAGAATATAAATTATACATGCGGCAAAGCTATCAAGTTTTAACCGGATATAACTCTACAACTAAAATAATTGCAACGGCTAAACTGTCAAGTTTAAGAAAAACAGGCGTGTAACTAGCGAGCTAGCTAGCTGTTTCTATTAGATTGTAGATGAAGGCCTCCATCTCTCTGTACGAGATGCTACCTCCGTCCCTCCTCCTGCTTCAGTCTTATGACAGAAAGCTCCGTCACTGGGTCCAGGGGGTTAAAATACGTTAAAATAACGATGCTTTTTTGATGAATAAAATTGTAAGTTGCCGCTGGAACCATTTCTAAAATTGCAAGTGACTCACCGAAGACAATTTTCTGACGTTTTCGTCTCGCCTTTCACCTTTTTTTTCTCTCAATGAAAGATTAAGCCGACGTTGCTTCCCGTTAGGTGGAGCAGCAGATCCTGAGTGAGGAAGGATGGCAGAGCAGAGCGAACCAATCAGAAGACAGACCGAGCGTAAAATCCCGCCTTCTTAATAGAGGCATAGGCCAACAGTGCGGAAACTGGTGGCTCGTGACTTGGCTGTGATTGGTTCATAGCGGGAGAACGACGGTAAACACCAGTAAAAATCACCCGCTGATTGGTTTTAAGATGTACCTGGTCTGACATTTTGTTTGCGGGATCAGATTTCATCTTGTGGAGCTCTTTTTCGATTCAAACAAATATAGGAATATTTACATAAGGAAGGGACTACACCAGCCTCCACAATACAATGCACTATAGTCTGCCTCTTATTATTCATTTTTACGTGTATTAAAAAAAAACCCACAGTGAAATTGTAAAGGCAAAGACACATAATAGCCCACAATCTGATATCCATTAGGGGGGTTAGGTATACTTGCATGCCTTATACTAACGTTCACTGTAAAGATTATCAAATATGATTTAGACAAACAAAGAACCCATGCACAAGAGCAACATTGGGCTCATTCTTATTCTTAATAACATGTTAATTACAAGTCGTGTACACAGTGCAGTGAATACACAGATTAAAAAAACTAACACTATCATCTTTGCCACAGCAAAGACATATAACTGTATAACTGTAACACATAACTCTCCTAACTCTTTATCATGTTTCAGATGATATGAGTCAATATTCCAAATTTCAGTAATGTTTTTGAGCTGCTTTTGTACAGCTCTACACGAAGGCATTAAAACAACCAAACAGAAGAAAGGAGATCAACAACTTAAGCAAAGGGATCAAGAGTGTTAAAAGGAGGTACAAAATAAGCAGCCCCGGGGAAAGGGAAGGCATAAATAAACTCAGAAGCAGCCTTCAGGAATGCCTCAACCGACTAAGAAGAAAGAAGAAAGAAATTGAGCAAGGAAAAGAAGAAGAGTAAAGCCCATTTCATTAAAGATCCCTACAACTTCCCTTCAATTCAAGGACCCATACTGAGCCTGATAAAACCTACCCCTTGGCAACCACCCAGAACCAGGCATGGCAGAACCCCCCACCTTCATTCTCAACACCAACAAGGAAAGAAGTACATGAAGTGACAAAAATGCTTGAGCAGTTTTAGCCCCAAGACCCAGCACTATACCTTAAAAGTCTCCTCCATCTTGAACATGAACTTTATCATTACAGCAACTGAAAAGGTACCCAGAGGTCCAGCAATGGATACAGGGGTGCAACAATAGGTCAAAAGGGGCTTCATGGATGACGTCACAATCACAACATCTTCCCAGACATTGTGCAGACAAGACTGGTTCTAGCCAGACTTGATAAGGTGGTAACATTGCCTAAGATTACATACATCCCAAAGAAATAAGGGAGGATGATCATTATGAAACTCAACATTACTGACAAGTTCCATCTGCTTATGCAAGGCAAAATCATCCAAGCATCAAGGACAATCTCGTAAATTATCTGGGAAAGTGGTATGACGAGGTGCTAAGGGACAACCATGTCCACAGCACTGAGGGGGAAGCAAAGCTGAAGAGTACTGAAAAATCTGGATACCTGGGGAAGTGTGAGACATGGCTGTACCAACAGCTCGTAGCGACGTAGCAGACGAAAGTGTATAAAGTCCCACTTACAGTGGTGGAGGGAAAATTAACAAGTACCTAAGAAGGTGGCTGGAAGGAGTTATTTGAGAGGAAGCACTACAAAGAGCTGGTGCAGGACTGTAGGGATAAAGATGGGCAGACAAGTACAGAGGTCACCCTGTCCAATCAGTGTGGAAGCTGTTGACTAACGGAGAGAAAATGAGGAGGAAATTGGGAAGACTGGGGGAGAGAGCAGAAAGAGCCTCCTATTGGATATGAAGTAGTAAGGAAAGGTTGAGCTGGGAGGCAGACCAAGTGAGTAGTGGCTGGCCACTGCTGCTGACTGCCAGCAGGAGGATGTTATGGTGCAGATAGTTGGTACCCATCTGACGGGAGGATTTGTGACGTTGAAAGACCCAAAATGAATGACCGCAGGAGCATCATTGATGACGTGTCCAGACTTTTCAGAATACAAAAACGATGAGTTGAGTCTATTAAATTCCAGCTAAATGTTTAAATTATTGATCAGACTCATTTTAAAGTTCTCCAGAAGATAGTATTTCTTTGTCCCTTTAAAGAAAAAGCCACAAGATGGGGTCATAACATATTGCAAGTGTCATTTCAAGCATAAACTACTCATGTGCTTATAGTGCCATCAGAACAGCAAAACTAGCATGAATAATTTGAAGCCATTTACAAGAGATATAGCATTGAGTATTGTGACACCTGAACAGAGAATCAGTAGACAGAACATCACTAGTAAAAGTTCTGTATTAAAAGTTGTATCTCAAACTTTAAGTATATGAAAAGTACAATGCTTGGTAAATGTTATCAGCTCCATCTGCTGACGAGAGGTTCACCAACTGTATTCATGTCAGACAGTAAGCTTTCCCCCCATTGGGCAGTTTGGGTAATGAGAAAACATTAACTCTACATTGACATCTAGTGGCCATACATGTTCAAAGCACTTCCATTTGTAATTTGTAGCTGAAGCATTAGATCAATGCTTCCCAATTATGGGGTCAAATTAATTATTCAGAGAGCATTTAATTATCATCAGAGTAGTATTTCAATCAGACGAGAACTGCCAGGTCGTCCAATTTCCACTTGAGCCAAAAGCTGGTCACTAACAACACCCACTCACCTTCACGATCAGTTTTTGACTTCCAAACTAAGTAAAGATGCTTTCAATTACTTTTCTTCATTAAAATGAGATTTAGGTTTAAGATTAGGTTTGACATCACATGGATAATTTAACCATTTTTAAATGAAATGTGATCTTTAGTTTATAATCTAATCTAGATTTTGACACACGGTCTTTCAAGAAAAAAAAAAAGGTTAGAAACAATTGAGGACATTTTTTTCTTTGGACAAATTTTGTAAACCTAGAAGTTATAAACTTGTGGAAAGTAGCAGTGACTAACATCTAGTTGATAGTTCAGCTCATGTTATGTGTGATTTTTTATATATTTTTAAAAAAAATTCAGACTTTTGTTTTACTCGAAGTTGATTGTCAAAACTTGCTCTGTACACAACCTGCACAAGGCCGTCATACTTAATTAAAAAAAGAAAAGCTGAATGTGTAACTTTTCCCCGCACTTTTTGGGAAACCGTGAGGGGGTTGAGGTGACGTAGCACTGAATCAGGCTAAACTCAAAGGATACATGAATGGCTCAACATAATTTATTTTCATTTTATGTTAAAATGTACAGAGTTCTTTGAAAGTACTTGCTAAGAAAGAAAAACAAAATGGAAAAAAATGGAAATACATACAGGGACAGAGTCGAGAGTTGAGGCAGCTGAGCTCAAATCAACCTTCACTGTGTGCCCAGCTGTCCCGTCCCCCCACCCTCTTTTTATTTTGCGCTCTCTCTTAGCATACAACGCAACATGTACAATTACAAAGGATACAAAAAGGGAAGCAATATAAACAGACAGAAATATACTGAGCTCATTTTTACATGCCTCTTAAATGTAAGGAAGTCATCCTATGCACACACAGAAGTAAAAAAAACAAAAAAGAAAGAAAACAAAAAGAATGCCGAGTAACCTTTAGATATTTGTAGTCCTTTTGTTTAAAATAGCATTAATATACTACACAAAGATAGAAAAACTCTAGAGATGAGATGGAATGGAGAGGTTAAAGGCATCTTAAAGTCACTAAAAGTGAGTGGTAATTTTTTTAAATTTTGAGTTTCTTAGTAATTATTACCCAAGAGGCGAGCTAAAAAATATGTTTTTTTTGTCGTTTCCTGAAACAGAAGTGAAAAAAATGACAGTACCAATATCAATGTCAGAATTTCCTTTTATATTATAGAAAAAACATTTTCTCTACAATAGGTTTCTAAAGTCAAAAAGAGTCAGCTTGTGTCATAAAAGAAAGCTGCCCAGTCTGACAAAATTCAGAAAAGAAATGAAACAAAAAAAAGTAAATACAGAACAGAATACACACAAAGAAAGTTTGTATGCCAGGTCTGTATGACAAATGAAAACTCCTCTTTTGACTAAGAATACCGATACGCGGCCCAACAAAGTCAACCACGACCCTACGGGACCTCCTTGCCTCCGACCCTGCTTCTATAACCGAGCTACAATCCCAGGGCCAAACCTCGCGCTAGATCGAGCATTCAGGCACACCTTCACAAAGGCTAACCGTCCGCTGCCACATTTTTAGCCAATGGGAGCACAGAAACAACAACAATAACAAAAACAAGATTAAAAAAACCCCCAAAGGAAAAAACTAATTTTACAAAAAACACACCATTCAGAAGCAGACTCCTCGACCTCTTTGGGTCACTAACACTTAAGGATGCGAGGTCACCTATAGTTAACCGACTTTCCTTAAAGTAGTTACATGGAAATCCCACCGTTTGTTCTGCATTCCCTAAGCTGCTAAAAAAAAAGGCTGACATTGTATACCATCTGTCAGTGGAGTGTGGACAAAAACAGTTGAATGTTTCCTGAGCTAGCCATCAACTGGAGACAGCTAGTCAGTGTGTGTTTGTATTTATATATATATGTATATATATATATATGTGTGTGTGTGTGTTTGTATGTGTGTGTGTGCTGAATATTGGGAAGTACCAGAATATTTACATCGAAATGTTTCAGAGTCGCGGCAAACTGGAAAATAATGCTACTTGTTTCATTTATGGATATATAATATGACAGTAACACGCTAGTCTCTTCTGTGTCTTTGCTGTGTTTTTGGTACAACACTGTCCATCCAGGAAGACAGAGACTCTGGAAAACAGTCAAACACCTCAAACACCCGAGGCCCTGCTCCACTGTGCTCTTCTGGAACTCACGAAAAGCCGTGGGGCCGAGCGGCGCCGGAGATGTTTGGGCATTTCTGAGAGAGCAAGAGGGTGTAATCACCGTTTCAGAATGCCGCGCGTATAAAGATCAAAGCATGTAAGGAGGTCGGACTGCACACACGTATTAAAAAAAACAAACAAACAAACAAAAACAACAACAAAAATAAGGTCAACAGTATGTTTAACATAAAACAACAGTCCGCCTGCAATGTTTCATCGTCTCTTTTTTCAAGGTAAGGCTTCCTATATTAAAAGATTGTGTGCATGGTTGAATATACTCAGTAACCACCGTTCACAGTCTGACCAGGCCAGGTACTCCTGTACCTTGTGGACTTTTCTGTGGACTTTTCCTCGTCATACTTCGTCGTTCCTTACTGTCCTCCTCAGTGTCGAGAGGAGGAGTGGACTCCTGGGCCTGTGTGCTGGCCTGGCCTGAAGCGCCACGGCACGGCCGAGGTCCACGTACACACCAAATCCTGCCCAAATACTCCCATACACAGCCAGCTGGGAGGGGAGGGGGAGACGAGCCCAAATAAAAAAAGGGACAAAATGACAACACAGAAAAAACAAAAACAAAAAACAGGAAACCCAAAGACCCTCTCTGTCCCCATCACCTTCACTCCACTGGTGCCTCTGAGGCACTGGAGAGGGTGAACAGGACTAATGGACATTTAGAGTACAGCGAGCATACGCTCTGGCCCCTTTCTGTCTCCTTTTTTCACTTCTTGGCTGCTCATCTGCTCATGTAATGTGGCTGTTTTGGATAGCTGTGATGGGAGGGGCCAGTGTACATCATGTTCCCGTGGTGATTGGGCTGCATAGGCTGCTGTGGGTAGCCCTGCCCTCCCATCATGCCCACCTGCATCTGCATTGGGTACTGAGCTGGCTGATTCATGTATGCGGGGTTGCTGTGATAGCCACTGTTCATCATAGGCTGAGCCATTCGGTAGCTGGCTGACATGGGGTTCAGAGTCGTCATGTTCATAGAATTATACGGTGCCGTGGGCATGAGGTTTGGCATCATGCCGCGCTGCACGGCCAAGGTGCGCGGCGTACCCTGCATGGCCACAGTCCCCGAGCTGCGGCTATAGAGCTGCTGCTGGTGCGGGGCCGGGGCCAGCTGCTGAGTGGCTTTGGACCGAATGGAAATGTGGCCTTTGACGGTAGTCATCTGGCCCTGCAGCCGCTGCGTGTGCGGTGGAGGTCCTAGGCCGATGTTGGTCGTGGGCATGTTGCATTGCAGCTGCAGAGAGCCCAGGTTCATGGAGCCAGAGCTAAGGTTAGGAGGTGGGGTCATAGTGGGCTGCCCCTGAGGAAGGGCAGTGTGGGGTGAAGGGGCCAGCCCAGGATTGGAGAGAGAAACACTAGTGGCATAGGAGGTAACAGCGGCGGAGTGAGAGTAGGGCATGCCGTGGGGCTCCATGATGGTGTTGGTGAGCTGCTGGAGTTTGGCCAGGCTGAATGTTGCCGAGGGCTGGGGGTAGCCCCCCGTACCAAAGTCCTGACCCATGCGCTCATACAGGGTGCGGCCCCCTCCTCCACCTCCGCTCTCTGGAATCTCCATGATCATGGGCGTGGAGGCAAAGCCATTGCCCATGCTGCACTGGGACAAGGCCTGCTGTGGTGGCGGTGGCGGGGCCGAGGGTGGAGGCTGAGGGTTGGGCGCTTGTTGCTGCTGTTGAGGAACCTTTTTTGTTGATTGCTGCTGCTGCTGCTGCTGGTTGGTGCTGGGAGGCCTCTCAATCACACCACAGCTCTGAGGAGACTTAATGCCACAGCTGGGGGTGTTGGATGGCGGTGGGGGCGGCGGGGGCTGGGGCACAGCACTGCCCACGTTGCTGGCACCTGGTCCACTGTTGGGCACTGGTCCTGTTTGCTGAATGAGGCTACAGCTGCCCATCGCTAGCTGGGATGCGGCATTTCCTGTGGAAGATGTGAGGCTGGGGGC